AAGTTTGTTGATCCCTGAAGTAGAAAGTCAAAAGCTAGAGGAAGCCACTGTATGATTCTAGGGCTCTATCCTGCTCTCCAGTTCTTTGTATGCAGTACTTCAAACAAATGTAAAAAAAAGCTGTCATTACAAATTGTGTTAATATTTTAATTAAAAAGGAATATTATGTTGTTTGAAAGACTTAAGATAATATTAAAATGTAGACCTACATAATAATCAGCAGTAGAGGCAAATGTATCAATGCCTCTATAAATTAGGTATTAAAATGTTTAGAAAAAAGGTTATTATAACTGTTGATGATACTGGTGAATCTTTCTTTCTATCTTTGGTGAGGTTGATCACCCTTCCAGCAATACTTCCACTTAAAATCCTACCTATTCAAGAGAGCTTGTTTAAGGTGAATCAAACTACTTATAAGAGCTGTAGCTTGAGGAAGCACCTAGGAATGAAAACTTTATTTAACTTATCAATTTCTGAATTTGGCAAACATGTGCTAAAGGAAAAATGGCAGTTGGAGGATATAAATCTGTAAGAATGGTATAGCATAAAGCTAGACCAACATGCATTTGAGCTGTAATGATGGTATCATTGGATAATCCCTGTTGTGTTAAGTGTTGACCCATGAGGCATGGGTAAAGGCTTTAGTCCAAGAATAATTTCTTAATAATCCCACTATACCAGGATAATGAGAACCTGCATTTATTTTAGGAAGAGGTGACCACTCGAGAATTATATCACTGTGGTAGAACCAAAAGTATGTCTACTTTGAAGGCAAAATTACAGACTAACTAGTAAAAAACAAATAAAAAACTTATCATAATTAAGTGAATTGGCAGAAAAGAAAGCATTCACAGGACAGGTAGGTGGCGCAGTGAATATAGCACCAGCCCTGAAGTCAGGCGGACCTGAGTCAAATCTGGCCTCAGACCAAACACTTGACACTAGCTGTGTGTCTCTGGGCAAGTCACTTAACCTCAATTGCCTAAAAGAAAGCATTCTTTTAAAAATGTTTTGATGAATATGAAACAGCAACTGAGTAGCGATTCAAAAGGAGTCCTGATAAGTGTCACTAAAGTGGCCACAGGAGCAATTTGACCTTCGTTAAAAGACAAAAACAAAAACAAAACTCTTGAATTTCAGGGCTGAAAGAGACTTTGAAGGTTATTTACTTAAACCCTCTCATTTACAGTTGGGAAACTGAGGCCTCCAAGGTGTTTGAAAGTGAAGAGATTGAAAATAGGTGAGAGGCTTTTCTGAAATACATTTAAATTAAAGGTATGAACTCCTCCCCTCCAACTCTCCCACCAGAAGATCAATTAATACGACCTTGAGATAAGATATTTGTTTCTGGAAATTAGGAAAAGAATCCTAATTTGGGGATTAGGCATGAGGATGGTAAGAAAAGATGACAGATCAGAGAGCATTAGAATGTTGCAAGGATGAGTTTGACCAGAGGATCATGGGTATATTCAGAGATCAAATAGACCAAACCACTCCTTTTACAGATGAGGAAACCAAGGCCCAACATAGTTAAGTCCCACAGCTGATAAGTAAAAGAGTCAGAATTCCATCCCATGTCTTTTGGCTACATTCCCTTTCTACCAAACCATGCTGATTTCCTACTGTTTGTTTTATGAAGAAATGCATGTGGTTGGGAAGATGAAGTTGGGAACTCAAGGCAAGAGGGAATTCCTTAGGTAAATCTTTTCATTTGAAGGACATTCTTTGTTGACTGAAGATTTATGATTTGAGGTTTTTGGGGAAAATATTTTATTGGATAAAGTCAGAGACTAACACATGCATGTGCAGTATAGTTTAGAGAAGAGTCTCTAATTGCGATATTGAAATTGTTCTTATTTGCAATAGAAACAATTTCTGAGAGGAAAGGCAGAAACCCTTGAATCCATAGGAACTATAAGTGAAGACAAAGAAAACAACAGTTTGGGTGATAAATAATGAAGTCCCCAGAGGTAGTTGCTCCTCAGGGAAACCAGTCTGGTTTGTTCTTCCATACAATTATTTTCCAGACTTGTATCTTGAGAGAGATACAGAAGAGATCAAATATTCTATTTTCAGAAATGAAGATATGATCTTGTGATGGTTGACTTTAAATGGACTCTGAAAAAGGGAACAAGTTTTAGGTGACTTTATGCTTTGGTTTTGAATCAGTAGCGTCTGGTTATGGTTACTATGGCAAGAGCTTTCAGGTTCCTGTGGTGTCTGTGCCAAATGTTGTTTGTCTGTTTTTGGCAGACTGGAGACGTCACTGGTATAGGGAACTTCTGGTGAGGAACCAATGCAAATAAGCAATCATTTTGGCAACTTATAGTCTTACAGGAATTTCTGGTGGCATTGATAGGTTAAATTACTTGTCCAGAGTTATATAGATAGTGCTTGTCAGAGGCTGACCTTGATCTCAGCTCTTCCCAACTCAGAGACTATCTCTCTGCCCAGTACACCATGCTTCCCCTGAGTGCAGATAGTGTGAAATAAATATATATATGCGTGTGTGTATACATATATATGTATACATGCATATATATATATATTCTCTAAGGCAACTGAAGGTTTTTTGTTTGTTTTGGTCTGTGGTTTTTTTTGTTTTTGTTTTTTGTTTTTACTATCTTAGTGTTTAGGGGAAGCAAAAGATTGGATTATTGTTGTATTTAGTATTTATTCATCTCTTGTTGACTCCCTACAATACTCTCTCCACAGTGGACATTCCTGACCTTCTTTCTCCTAGAGCTCCCATCCCCAGCTTGAACAACCTCACCATAATGCATATAATTTTATTGGACTGAGAAGTCCATTTGTTGTGAGCTCATTAATCATCTCTCATCTTTACCCCAACATAGTCTGCCTCTAGGACCTTCCCCTCGTCTTCTCCTCTACTTCCAGGCAAAGCACTCCTTTCTCTAAACCTTACCATTCCACCTGTGCTCCTTTCCCCATCTTTTACAATATTGTTCCCAAACTTATTTCCTTTCATTCTAGTATTTTCAGTCTCTCTCTCCATGAATTAAATTCCTTTTCTTCTGCCTTCAAACATTCATTTACTTAAAAAATTATTAAATGCTTTTTTATGTGCATTAAGAGAGAGAGAAAAACAAATGTGCATGTCTCTTCTATTTTGCCCTTTGAGGTTGCTAGGTGGTACAATGGATAAATTGCGAAAAGACCCAAGTTCAAATCCAGCCTCAAATACTACTTGTGTGACTCTGGGCAAATCACTTAACTTCTTTCTGCCTCAGTTTCCTCAATTGCAAAGGGAATAATAACAGCACTTGCCTCCCAGGCTTAGTTGGAGGATCAAATGAGATCTTATTTGTAAAAGCACTGGGGGGGGGGCAGAGCCAGGATGGCAGAGTAAAAGCAGTGTCTTGCTTGAGCTCTCCACCAAACCCCTCCAGATACCTATAAAAAATGGCTCTAAACAAATTCTAAAGCAGAAGAACCCACAAAAAGACAAAATGAAACAAATTTCCAGCTCAAGACAGCCTGGATGGTTGATCTGAAAGGTATATCACGCAGGGCTGGTAGAGGAGCACAGTCCGGTGTGGGCATGCAGGCCACAGCAAACCTAGAGGTAGGCCTCAGAGGGCTGAATCACAGGCAGCTGTGGCAGTTTCCAGACTTCTCAACCCATGAATGCCAAAGACAACTTAGAAGGTCGGTAGGAAAAGGCTGTGTCTGTGGTGAGAGAGAAGCTCGGTGAGGTTCCAGCCCCAGTCCCCACCCACGGCCTGGGGTGGCGGCTGCCTCTGGAGCTTCTAGCTCACAGACTGAGGGGGAATCAAGTGGCTGATCAGAGGGGGAGTGCAGGGATCTCTCTGCTGGTGCAGGATTCTCTTGCTTTGCCTGTGCTTAGATCTGGGTCACAGTTCTGGATGGCAGTCCTGGGGCAAGGAGGGGTGCTGGCATGGTGGAGCTTGTATTGGCTGTGGAGAGGAAATCCTCCTCACAGTTCCAAGATGCATAAGAGTTCCTGTGGTCACTCATAGACCACAGCACAGGCCAGAAAAGGAGTAAACACCTTGCCCTTGATCATAACACCTTGGAAGAATTGAAAATTTATAGGTCCCTAGAAGTATCTCTGAAAACAGCTGCACAAAACCCCCAAAGCTTGGGACAGTACATTCTCCACACTGGAAACAGACCCCTACCTCAACAAAGAGTTTATAACTCAAGTAAATGACTGGGATCATGAGCAAGCAGTGCAAAAAAAGTCAGATTATATTATCTTAATTTGGTGACAAAGAAGATCAAAACATACGACCAGAAGAAGACAACAGAGCTCCTACGTTCAAAGCCTCCAAGAAAAATATGAATTGGTTCCAGGCCATGGAAGAGCTCAAAAAGGATTTTGAGGAGCAAGTAAGAGAAGTAGAGGAAAAACTGAGAGTGATGCTGAAGGAGATCAAAGAAAATAATACCTTAAAAAATAGCCTAACCCAAATGGCAAAAGAAGTCCAAAAAGCCAATAAGGAGAAGAATGCCTTAAAAAGAAAAATTGGCCAAATGGAAAAGGAAGTCCAAAAGATTACTGAAGAAAATACTTCCTTAAAAATTAGAATAGAGCAACTGGAAGATAGTGACTTTATGAGAAATCAAGACACTGTAAAACAAATCCAAAAGAATGAAAAAATAGAAGATAATGTGAAATATCTCATTGGAAAAAACAACTGACCTGGAAAATAGATCCAGGAGAGAGAATTTTAAAATTATTGGACTATCTGAAAGCCATGATCACAAAAAGAACCTAGACATCATCTTTCAAGAAATTATCAAGGAAAACTGTCCTGATATTTTAGAACCAGAAGGCAAAATAGAAATGGAAAGAATCCTCCAATCTCCTCCTGAAAGAGATCCCCAAAGGAAAACTCCTAGGAATATTGTAGCCAAATTCCAGAATTCCCAGGTCAAGGAGAAAATATTGCAGGCGGCCAGAAAGAAACAATTCAAGTATCATGGAAACACAATCAGGATAACACAAGACTTAGCAGATAGATAGATGGCACAAGGTGAGTTGAAAATGAAGGCGGGATATCTGGAAAATAAAATTAAGGGGTGAGAGAGGATTATACTGGGAGAAGGAGAAAGGGAGAGGTAGAATGGGGTAAATTATCTCACATGAAACAGACAAGAAAAAGCTTTTACAATGGAGGGGAAATGGGGGAAGGTGAGAAGGAATGAGTGAATCTTATTCTCATAGGATTTGGCTTAAGGAGGGAATAATATACCAATGGGGTATGGAAATCTATTTTACCCTACAGGAAAATAAGGGGGGAAGGGGTCAAGAGAGCAGGGGGTTGATAGAGGGAAGGGCAGATTGGGGGAGGGGATAATCAGAAGCAAACATTTCTGAGGAGGGAGAGGGTCAAAAGAGAATAGAATAAATGGGGGGTAGGATAGGATGAAGGGAAATATACTTAGTTTTTCACAATAGAACTACTATGGAAGTGTTTTGCATGACTACGCATCTACAACATGTATAGAGATGTTTACCTTTTCAATGAGGGTGGGTGGGGAGGGAGGAAGGGAGAAAATTTGGAACCCAAAGTTTTAAAAACACATGTTAAAAAAAAAAAAGCACTGAGCACAGTACCTGGAACATAGCAAGTGCTTAATAAATGCTTACCTCCCTCTCCCTCCTTCCTCCCTCTGCCATTTTGAAATATTTTCTTGACCCTGCTGTCCCCTCTAGCTACCATTCTATTTCTCTCCTGTACTTCAGTGCTAAACCTTCTGAATAAATGGCCTATACCAGAGACTTCAAACATGTAGCCCAAGGGCCACGTGTAGCTCAGGAGATTCCTTAGTTAACAGGAACCAGATTAAAATGTAACTGGAAAATATTTAAGAAAATAAATTAAAATATGATAAAACATAGATAATATTTTAGTTTAAGCCTAAGTAAATATGTGCCCCACAGGGATCCTTAGGTATGGATTAGTGGCCCCATTTCTATTTGAGTTTGACACCACTGGTCTATACCTGCTGCTTTTACATCTATCACTATCCATTTATTCCTTAACCATCCTTATCCTACAGAAACTGTAGTCTCAAAGACTGCCCGTCCCTCACCAACTGTCAAGGTTAACATGGCTTTCTTAGAGATTATTCTCTTTGATGTACAAATATTTTATTTGAAAATCTCTATGTGGTTTTTTTTTTTTAGGCAATTGGGGTTAAGTGACTTGCCCAGGGTCACACAGCTAGTAAGTGTCAAGTGTTTGGTCTGAGGCCGTATTTGAACTCAGGTACTCCTGACTTCAGGGCCGGTGCTCTATCCATTGCGCCACCTAGCTGCCCCTATGTGTTTTTTTCAAAATGTAAGTTGGTTTATTCTTTTAAAAATACATTTTAACTGAAATATTTTGTTTTTAACATTTTCCGCAGAATCCCTCTCCTGTGCCTCACCCAGTGAGGTAGGTACCTCTTATAATAAAGAATTCAAAAAGAAAGGAAAAAAAGCTCAGCAAAACTAATCAAAATGCTAAAAAATTCTCACATCAGGTTCAGTGTACTACAGCTGACTTAGTTTTATTTTGTTTATGCTCCTCCTAGAAATATCACCTCCTTGGCTTCCCTTTTCCCAGTCAGTTGATTAGTTAAAAGGCATTTCTTAAGTATGTACTATGTCCCAAGCACTATTATTTTCCTATTTTTTAACTGTTGTGATCTTTCTCTGTCACCTTTCCTACTGTGTGCTAAATTGTAGATATTCTTCATACATGAATCATTGGTTTTCTGATTTTTCTTTCTCTGTATTCTCTACCTAGGAGATCTCATCTACTTTCATGATTTCGATCATTACTTCTATGTAAATGATTTTCAAAACTACATCAATCTCCCAAACTTCTCACCTGATCTCCAGTAGCTTCTCTATTTGGATATTCCATTAACTCAAAATTAGCATGTCCAAAAGTTAACTCATCAACATTTCCCCAAACCTTTTCCCTTTTGTAATTTCCCCATTTCCATGAATGATGGTAGTACCAGTTCTCTGAGTCATTGAGTCTCAAAACTTTGAAGTAATGTTAAACTCATTCCTTTTTGAGCATTCTTTTTGAGCATTCAATTTATTCTACTCCTTTTTCTTTGAATTCCTTATACTTTAGATGTGTTTCTTGTAAAATAACAAAGGGTTTTTTCTTAGTTATTTTGTAATTATCTGCTTTTTGTTAGCTAATTCAATCCATTAACATTCAAATATAATTGCCATTTGCTTATATATCAATTAGAACTTGGCATATTCTCCTCTTCAATTTTTTAAAAATCACTACTAAGTTCTATACTACTTACTTTTTTTTTTTTTTTAGCAATTGAATATTACTTCCTAAACTAATCATAGCTATCCTCTGCTTACATCAAATGCAGATTAAACTTTTCTCAATTACTCCCCCATCTTCCCAATACACATACTGAAACAGATCCTGGAACTCTACATTTACTCATATAATTAAAAAAAAATTCTTTATCCTTCCCTACATAGTCCAAAGAAATATAGTTGAAGAATCAATCTTTTTCTTCTACCTTACTTCCCACTTCCTTGCTTGCTTGACCTTCACTTGCAATGTGATTTTAAAGAATATTATTTAGATTTTGCCTTCCCACTCTCCAATAAATGCTTCATAAGATCCACTGCCTTCTGTTCCCTTTTATAGTGGCTCTTCCCTGAAATTCATAGACTATTTTTTCAATAACCCTCATATTAGTTGTGATTTAAAAGCTGAAATATACTTTATACTCACTTGTAAGATGTTAGCTTTATGTTATCATTTGTTTCTTACTTGCCTTCAATTCTAGATATTTTTGTTTAAATTTCAGTTGTTTGGTGAACTTCCATGTCAAAGGTAAAATCTGCTCCATTCTGAGTTTCTTATCAACAAAGAATTTAATTTTCTGATATTCCTGAAGAATACTGTGTTTTCATGATGAAGTGAACTCAGTTTTTCGGGACAAGTAATTTTGGAGTGCAATCTGAATTCCCTTGCTGTTTTGGTAATTTACACTCCAGCCTTGTATTTATTGTCCTTGTTGAGTATTCTTGAACGATAAGAATTGGCACTTGTTGATAAATAAATTGCTTCCTTCTGATTACTTGGAAGATTTCCTCCTCGATTCTGGAAGTTAGAAATTAAATTTCTAGGAAAGTTAAATTTTGAGTAGCTCTCTGTCAGCATGCTTTGGAATCTATAGATTTGGACTTGACCCTTTGTTTCTAATCCTTCTTGGCACCTTTCTTGTATGTTTTCCTGGAACATGGTTTTCAGACTGTGTTTCAATTATCATGTTTATTTTCTTAAAGTCTTCTTTCAATGACTTTATTTCCAATCGTATAGACGGCAAGTCTTTCATATCTTTTATTGTGATTATAAATCAATATAGAAATTCTATGGCCTGTCTATATTATGTTCAGAGGTAAATTTATGTCATTTTTTTCATTCCTAATATTTCTCTTAGCTTTTTTTTATTACATAGTATTTACTCATTATATTAAGGATTCTTTTTTGCTTACTCATTTCTTCAGTATTTCTTTTACTTTTCTCCAAGATTTTTTTCTCCCTTCCAAACAGTATCTTCTCCTCTTTTTTATTTTTGTTCTTTAATTTTATTTAGCATATTTATCTTGAGGTAGCAAGGAAGCCAGATTTAGTTAACAACTACTAACTCAGGAGTCTCCGTTTCTGGCATTCATACTGAACTGTCTCCTGTAATCACATGTCTTTCACATGTTATAAAAGTATTGTGAATTTAAGTTGTGTGTGTTTTTTTTTTACTTTCCCAGTTGTGTATCTTGACAGATTGAACCTACAAATCCACAAGAGCACAGTTTATTCCTTTTTTTAAGGGCATATATTTATTGAGCAAGTATAAATAAAATGTAAACCAATTAACTTGGAGAAATTTTAGCTCAATGGAAAAAAACCCATAAATCTTTGTTTATACAAATCACATAATTGCTTTGAAAGAGGGCCTTAGTGTAAATAATCCATAACAATAACTTGTGTAGCACATTCAGGAAGAGAAGGAATACATATAGACAGGAAACAGAGAGAGAAAAGTAAAACATACACTTAATCAAAGTGATAAGCGAGGAATGAATTGGAGGTGGTTACTTGCAGGGAACAAGCAATATTGTGAACTGAAAAATTTCAAGGATAAGAAAGAGACAGTGGACATAGATATGCAGACATATTGCAATTAATGACCTAGATGACTTGCATGCTGAAGTAGCTACTCAAGAATCTGGAAGCTTTAGATGCCAGGGACATGTTGTGGCCAAGGTTTAGATTCTCAAAGGAGGAATTTAGTGGAACCAAGACCTGACAAACTGACATTTGCTTTCACATGTCATATCCTTTATGGGTGAACAATACAATTATGACAATCACTAGAGCAGTATAGAAGGAATAGAGCAATACAGGAAAAAAGTGAAGAGTTTGAAATAAGGGTTCATGGAAGTATAAATCAAAGTATAGGCTGGCTCAGGAACCAAGGTTTCTCTGCATCACCAAAACAAAAGGAATTAAGATCAGCAGTAAGTCAGAGGAAGAATCAGAGATTTAAGACTAGAAGTCAATCCTGGATTAGGTGCAGGATACAAAGAACATTAGCAAACTGTGTGTCTAGTAATTTGCCTCTGGTACGTTTGTTTTCCGCTTCTAACTTCTAACTTATGTAGACTCACTGGCATATTTATGGCCAGGATAAGCTATGTCACCTCCTAAGTCATACAGGTCAGCAAGATCATGAAGATGGATGTCATCCCTTCCCCCAGAATGCTGCCTTGGACTTTGAGGCCATGACTTGGTGGGACATTGTTTATAGAAGGTTGCCACCGATTCCAGAGTATCACATTGTTAGCTGACTCTCATTTCCGCTCCATGTATTGGTCCATTAGGTACTTGAGGCACTCCTGTTACCTTAGTGAACTGAGGGACCCTTAGACAATGAATTCCTCTAGCCTACTTACAATTTCCTGGGGTTGAGCAAGTTTTCAGAGAGTGTAGTCCAGGGATACAACTGATTCCTTACCAATTGTTGTTATGGCCAAAGGTTAAAACTGATAAAATAATGTTGCGAAGTCATGATAAAAGAGTGATTTTAGGATATCAAGACTTAAAGGACAGGATTCTTCAATAGTATTTGCTACAATCCTGCTAGTTGGATTTAAAGAATATATTATTCTAAGCACATTCTCTCAAGCAAATATACAAGAGAAGAGGAGCACGGATCCTTTACTGTTTGGGTTGACATAATAGAGTTTCCAGACACTAACAGGAAGAGAATATAACCACAAGAAGACAATAAGAATGAGGAGATAACCAGAAGTTAAAGTGAATCAACAGTAACTAAGCATCATAAGACTGTTACCTTGCTGGTCATTCAGCTGGATCTTGGCACAGCCACATATAGGAGTTTGTTAATGATGCCAATGATATTATCATGACAGCATACAACAATATAGCAGGACATCTAGGACAGAAGGTTGAACAACATTTGGGGAGAGGCAAAAAAGGAGCCAGACTTAAAAGCCTCATGGGAGTAGGAACAGAATGGGCTGTAACTTACTGAATTATAAACTCCTGTCTGGAAGAGAAGCCGGACTTGGGTTATGCAAATTCAGTCCCTGTCACATTTTTGCTAAATTATACAGGCTTAATAAAAGCATGGTAGGCAATGGCCAAGCCTATACACATTACAATGGAGTGAGCAATGCCTGGGGAACAGATAGAATTTCAAGGGGAAGACTGCAGGGTGTGGAACAGATAGGGTTACAAGCTATCTAGAGAATTAGAGGATGTTGTTGACCAATAGGCTCTGTCATGTAGGCAGACAGAGAAGAAAGTTTTCTTTGTGTCACGCACAGTGGACAGCTTTGCCCTGGTGATATGGTCCCTGGTATTCTCCTAATTGAAATAGATGGGCATTTCTTATCTACTTAGTCAGGTTCCTGTCTTTTCAGACATGATAGATTCTTTACTTCATGCAGTCACATTTGCCATCACCTAAACACCCTCTCTGTGGGAAAAAGGGAAACAAGGAGAGATCTTGGCACTCTACTAAACCAGAACCACAACCACAATTACTAACACATAGAGGCCTACAGTCTTTTCTGCTGATTCTCAGAAAGGTCTACTAGAGTGAAGGTTATAGGAAGATAGACCTGGTCACCACACTGAGGTTCCTCCTAGTGTTATGATAGTGGCTGGTGCCCATTTGGATGCCTATTTGGATTTAGTGTGAGCTATATGTCAGGGCTGGCAGCCAATTAGCTACTAACATCTCACTGGCCTCTTTGTCTCATCAGACAGATACAAAATATTAACTAAAATATTTGTGCACCCTGAAATGTAACCTACTTTCAGGAAAAAAAATTTAGATCTAGGATCTAAAATTATGGGATTATTTACTTGAGTTG